TTGACAAAAGGGTCCAGCCTCCACTAACCCCAACAGGGACCAGGAGCAAGCTCACTTCGTCCTGAGGCATCATGCTCCTGAGGATTAGGTCAGAAAGTCCTGCCTTGTGTTGAGTCGAAATATTTCTCCCCAAAGCTTTCCACATTGGTCTAGTTTTGTCTTCTGATGCCACACAGAAGCAGTCTGTTTCTCTTCCATATAACAGCCCCTCATATGTCTTTAGATAAACAGAGACTCCCTGAGACCTCCCTGCTTCAGACCAAATAAATACTCACAGCTCTTTCAGTCATTCCTTACATGCTATATGTGTCAGTCAAAGTTCTGAGTTACAAGCAGTAGAAACCCATGGTAGCTGGCTTAGATAGAAATGACACTGCCATTAAGAGGAAATGGAGGTGTTCACAGGAATGGCAGAGAAGCTGGAAATTCTGTATCAAGAAATGGGCAGGACAAGGGGTATTTGGACAGCCAGAACCACGCTGAACCTTGTGCAGAAGCATCCTAGGAGGGCACGCTGGCTGCCTGATGGAACTCACACCACCATGAGGGGCTTCCTAAATTTTAAGTGCTGAAGAACCTGTGTAACAGTGAGCAGTGGCTACTTCTCAAGGACTTATTGGGAAAAATAGGTAATGGGATTTATCTAGACACCAATTTGCATTGTTAGATCGGCTCTGCTTTCTCTAAAGCATCAGGCATAGATTGGTATTATGGAAAAAATGTTTATGTCTCTTACCCTCTCAGGCCCCAGTGCATATGTTAAAGCCCCCGCCCCCACTGTGACTGTATTTGTAGACAGGGCCTGTGAGGAGGCGGGGAAGGTTAAACGAGGTCACAAGCAAAGGCTTCCACTCTGATAGGGCCTGTGTCACCATGATAGGAGGAGACACTGGAGTTCTCTCTATCCCGTCAGAACACAGCGAGAAGAGCCCATTCGCAGGCCAGAGGACGGCCCTCACCAGGCCCTCCAGAACCCTGAGAAATGATGTCTGTTGTGTAAGTCTGCCATTCTGCGGTACTTTGTTATGGTGACCATAGCAGACAAAGACAGATGGGTTGGTGATAGTTATGTGTTTTCTGTTACCTGAAATTGCTGCACCCAGTAGCCCCTTGAGAGACAAAAGCAGTCATAATCCAGGGGTTTCCCATTCAAACACTGACTTGTTCTCATGGTGGTGGTTTTGATGTGGTTTATTCCAGGGAACATCAAATTAAGAAAAAAAGAGGATCATTCAAGAAAACACAACGTTGTAGCATTTTAGGAGATGTCTAGGGTAGTGGTTCCAAAGCTAGTCCTGAGACAGGCACCAGAAGGGCTGTGTGCAAGTTACCTGGGGAGCTTTCTAAAAATATAGACTCTAGGCCACACCTTCTAAGAGTCTAATTTCATTAGTCTGGGGAGAGAACCCAGCAATCTGCATTTTAGACAAGTGCCCCAGGAGATGGGGCTAGATTTGGGACTGGGGACCCACTCGAGGCAGGCTCCTCATTCGCAAGTAACAGGCTGCAGAGAAGACCCAAGGCCAACCCACCTTTTCCACTCAACCTGGACAAGGACCTGGGGATCCAGGCCTTTGGGTGTTTGTCTGATTGGCCAGAGATACCAGGTGGTGCTTTAAGAGGGGCACAGAAACCTGTGATGGCAGCCAGGAGAGGAGGGGTAGGCACTCTGACTGGGGAACACAGTTCCAGGTTGCTGGTGACTGCTAACCTAGAGCCAGGCCTTCAGCCTAGAGAAGAATCAGCGAGTGGCTCTGGAAGGGGATTCCAGCTGGAGGGAACTTGAATAAAAACCTGGCTGGTGGTGGAAATGTACAGGCAGAGAGGGAAGATAGGGCAACCCTCCTGTGGGGGTGGTTTTTTGAGCACTGGCATTTTGGATGTACTTGGAGTTGAGGCTTGCATCAATGATGGTTGGAGCCATAATTTTTTTGCAAACCCTAAAACACCACTGGGCACATGGAGTTGGGCAATACATACTTTATAAAGTCATTTGATAACTTGCCGTCATTTCAAGAAATAAAGAGGAGTTAAGGTGTTTATAAACCAGCAGAGCGATATGGTTTTCCATGGCTCATGTCACTAGTTGGGAAGGAGATTTGGACCAGAGGGAAAGAAGCGTGTCCGCCAAAACCTTACAGAGAGAGCTTACCTCATTCCCTCAGAGTTCTCCCAGCTCCCTGGCGGCTATATATTTTGGCTCCTGCTGCTTTCAACACACGTGGGAGAGGTCAAAAAACCACCAGGCAGAAGGGGTGCCTCCCTGAGTGACTCAGAGCTGAGATTGCCGGTTTGACTGCCTGAGGAGTCAGGTGAGTGTAGCCCTCACTGGAGGCCTTATCAGCACTCAGCCATCAAATCACAGGCATATCTTTAGGGCAGAGGAGGCAGCTGCCAAGTAGGCACAGAAACAGAAAAGTACAGCCCCAGGTAATGTCAGAGGCTCTCCCAGGCCCCACCCAGGACTGCACCCACCCTCCATCCCCACCCCCAACCCCCGTACACAGCTCTTGGGCCCCAGAAGGGGCCAAGCCTCTTTTTAAAGCTACTATATCAGCAGCACACACTTCTTACATTTAGGTAGTATATGATGGTTGCTGTTTTAGGGTCTTGAAGGGTGTCAAGAGGGAAGAGGCGCTGGGAGATGCATGAGGGATTTTCCCTCTGAAGGGCAAGAAAAGCCAGTCCATGGAAAATGATCTGTATGCTGGGGGTGTTCAGGGGTGCAGGGGAGGCAAGGGACAGCCCTGAGAAAGCTCCCAAGTTTCAAAGAAGCAGAGCCTATTTCGGATCCTGATAAGTCACAGGGCAAGGTAGCATTTGAGTTGGGTCCTGAGGGTGGGGGTTTGGAAGTGATGGAGGTAAAGAACCACAGATGGTAGGAATGGCCAGTGCAAAAGCAGAGAGGATGGACATGTCAGGGCCCAGCCACCACTTCCTGGCCCAAGTCCTTCCTCCTCTTGCTGGGCTCAGGAGGCAGAGCCCGTGAGATTCTCCTAGCATCTCTGAGCATTTGTGCTGTGCAGATCACTGTTTCTGGATGCTGACACCGTTTAAAGGTGGAAATGGAGCAGTGGCTAGACCCTGCCTTCTGGGAGCTCACAAGCTTAGATGCAGGAGGAAAGCTCTGCATGCAGCCACAGTGGTGTGGTTCCCTCCGGGACGCTGTCCTGTCCCCTCAGGCTCACCTCTCAGAAGACCATGCCAGCTCATGCTCCCTGGTCGCCTGCATTCTGGATATTGCTCTGCTGTTCCCTGCATCTGGAATGTCCTTCCTCCTACTGGTGAGCGCCCAGATCTGCCCAAGAGGCCTGACTCAAATGTAATCCCAAATATGACTCCACTGTGTTGATCTTCATCCCTTCCCCAGGCGGAAGGGGTCACTCCCATCCTTGAACTCCTACCACACTTGTATCCTCCTCTTTGTGTTGTAACAGTTATCTGCTGACCCAGTTTATGCTCCCCTCGACACTAGACTATGAGCACCTTGAAGGCAGGGCTATGTGCCTTCCCATTGTCTACCAGGACCTCTGACACTTAGTAGGTGTTCAAGAAATTTCTGTGTTAGCATTGGATGGTTGGTTATAGAGATCTCTGAAAACATGGGTGTGAGTTCATCAAAATGGGCTAAAAGCACTTCAAAAGGTTAATTGGAAAGGAAGTTTGGAAATTTGTGGAAGGAGTGAAGTGCCGTCCGAGAGTGGAGAGTAGGTGAGGGGCTGTGCATAGGAGTGAAAGGAGCTGGAGATGGGTGCTCAAACTGTGGATTCTCCCAGATGCAATGGTCTTACAGACTTCTGAGCCCTCCTGTCCATCCAAGAAGCCCCAACTTTCCTCCCAACTCAGACACATGCCCCAGCTGGATCCTGACAGAAGCCTGGAATGTGAGGCAGAGAAACTTTGGCTCATAGGAAGGTACTAATGGTTCTTGCAAAGATTTCTGGTAGGATAAAAATTGTATTTCAAAAAGATAGCCTGGATCATGTCACTCCTGACTTATCCTTCAGCAACTTCTCATTTCTCTCAGCATACAGAAAAAACCTCCTTTGTGTGGCCCTCAAAGCCCAGAGTGTCCAGGCCCCATCAGCATACAGAGCTCAGCTTGCCCTGAGGCAGCCACTGTGCTATTTCCTCTCTCGGTCCTTCCTTCATGCTCCCTCCTGCCACAGGACATTTGCACATGTGACTTCCTCTAACTAGAACACTACTAAAAGTGGAAGTAACGGGAGTTGGAAGGAATGTCAGGAGCCATAGGTATCTCTGTGAGATAAGAAGGATAATTGTGAAAACATGAAGTATAGGTAGATGTTGCTTTTGGACACCAAATTGAAGAGGGAAGGAAAAAGAAAAGAAACTGACATTTATGCGGATGAAAGGATGGACATGCCAGGGCCCGGTCACCACTTTCTGGCCCAAGTCCTTCCTGCTTCTGCAGGGCTTAGGAGGCAGAGCCTGTGAGATTCTCCAAGCATCTCTGAGCATCTGTGCTGCTCCGATCACAGTTCTGAGGCTCCACTTGGAGCTGGCTTCAAATCCCAGACATAGTACCTGATGGCTGTGTGACCTTGGGAAAGATGGAACCCCTCTCAATCTGGTGTCTGTAGAGGCTCTCTACAGAGGTGGAAACTGAGTTTAGAAGGAGCCTGCCTGTGGTCACATAGCCAAGCCAGGATCTGGACATGGACATTCCTGATTTTTAAGCCCACACATGCTATTCTGCCTGCACTGTGCTGGCAGAGACCTGAAAGACTGGTGCAGTCCAATCTTCTCATGATAAAGAGGGGGAAACGGAGCCTTTGAGAGATAAAATGACTTGATCCAGACTCTTGCCCTAAAGCTGTAAGTATCAAGGGATCATCCAAGATGATCCGTCCCTTAGCTAGTTGGGAATGCTGGACCAAGACTGGGCAAGAGGTACAAGTGACTCCCCAGTATCGGTTGAATCCCCACGGTTAGTTTTCAGGGCCTTGAACCATCTGCCCTGGCAGAAGTTCACTCACCTCTGTGCTCTCCCGGATGCCTGGGCAGATGGGAGCTCTGGCTGCTGAGGAGCCTTGGCTGGCAGTTAGTTCAGACCGGGGCTGCGTCAGTAGTCCTGCCTGGCGGCTTCCCACATCCTTGAGTAACTGCTGCACAGAGGTGCTGGGCATGGCACCAAGGGTGTGGTGCGGACCAAATTAGTAATGCACACTTGGTGACCCCCTCACTGAGCCAGGTTTCACTGCACACTTAGGATGAACACAATCCCTTACCTAGCATTTGTGGGGTCACTAAGGTCTCAAGTAGAAAGGTAAAACCTCTGAAGAGAATTGGGAGGAGGCAAACTGACCTGGAGTAAAGGGCCTCTATGTGTCTGACTACTTACAGGCATGATGTATGGAGAGAATCTGTCAAAACTTGAAAGCAGATGATAGCAGGACAGCCCATGAGCAGAGGGAGGCAAAAAGGTGTAAATAATCTGAGGTGAATGTGGGTCGTGCTGGCGTAGTAGATTTATGCCCTGTCCTCATAATGTACTCTTTCATCTGGGGAGCTGGGATTCCAAAACTCTAGTCTAGACAGGAATGGATGGCGCTGCCTCTCAGCTTACACTGTTCAAGGTTTCTCAGCCCCAGGACTCCTAAATGTAGATGTGAACAGCCCATTCGGCCAGGGGACACTGCTCAGACCCCAGGAAGCAAAAGCCTCATTCTTACAGACCATTTCATGAGTGGAAGCATGGCCCACAGGAGCTCCCCAGAGGCACTGTCACTCATTCTGGGGCTGACGCCCTCTTTGTCTCCAACTCCCCAAGTGGGAAACAAGCCCAATCACGCCTGCGACCCGGCAGTCAGCCTGAGCCTCTTCTTTCCTCCTTTTATGTACGCTTGGTGCTGGTTTCGGTGGCTTTCATCAACAGCAGCTGAAACCACCCCCACCCGTCGCTTCCCAGGGACTCGGGCAGGCCTGGGCCGACACGGCCAGGCCCGGGAGTCTGGGCAACGGTAAACAAGGCTGCCAGAGGCCCTCTCCAAGCTGCTGCTGTGCCCAGGCAGGCCCTGTCTCCTGGGTGGCCAGAGCTAGGCCCCAGGAGCCCCCTGCTGCAAGAACCGAGGGTCACTGGCTTCACTCCCGAGAGAGGCACCCTCCTTTCCTTCCCTTTCCCTGTGGATCCTGCAAACTCAGCCTGGGACTTGGGAGGCTACGCAGGAAAGGAGGGTGGAGCAGACCAGGAGCTGAGCATTATAGTGGAGCATGTGAGGCTGAGTAGTGACAGAGCTGTGGTTCTGAGACTGGGAAACAGATTAGAAAAGACTACAATTAAGTAATCTATGGTAAATGGACACACAAAAATTACACACACTCAAAACAAACAAATAAACAAAAAACCCACAAGGGCTCCGAGGGCAGTTGGTCATTCTTTTCGAACAGCTGGGGATCTCTGATTCATGCACTGGCTGGCCCCTGTTCTCCATGCCACAAGGGCCAGCCAGGGAAGGGCCAGATTCTGTAGGTGACAGAACAGAGTGCTAAAACAATGCTGCCACTTACCGACTGTGTGACCCTGGGCAAGTTAGTGGGCGTCTCTGAGCCTCAGCTTCCTCCTTTGCAAAACTGAAACATACCTGCCTCCCAGGGTTGTTGTGAAGTTTAAATGACATGGTATATCATATTTCTGGCCCATAGTAGGCATTAAATAGTCACAATTATTATCCCTGATCAACATAGTTCACTCACTCCCTTTTAAAAACCTACCCTCAGAAACCAACTTTCCATATGGAAATGAGTCCTCTTTCTGAATGATTTCACCTTATCCATAATCATAGACAACATATGTGTGTGTGTAAGAGACCAGAAGAGACAAAGAAAAAGTGGACACATAGTGACCATATTTTCCCTATCCTATAAGATGTGTATACATATGTACATACACACACAGCCCTATGAGTAGATGGGGCACTGTTACATTTTACTACTTTTAAAGGTGATGAAGCTCACGTCAGGAAGATTACATGACCTGAACAAAGGCACACAGCCAATGTGTTTCTCCAAAAGAAATGACTGGGAGTCAGTGTTTCTTTAAGGCATTTCTCCATAAGCACACACAGAGAAAAACATCATTAAGAGACACTGAAATCATACTTTTACTGCTATTTAAGTTCCTCTTGAAAGTATCATCTAGGTATCTTGAAAAGGCAGGTTTTAGTTCTTTACCCATTGAAGAAATGTGTTCCTACCCACCCTATGATAACTTTAGTGATTCCATATGCAGAGTCCATGAATGGATTGCTAGGAAAGTCAAATCACAGGAAAGAACAGCTGTCACCCTGAGAAAAAATTTATCTCCTAGAGAGCACCAGGGCTCAACAATTCCTTCTGTGATGCTCTGCCTAATACATGTGCAGCTTCAAATCACATTCAAAACAGTAACAGATCCAGTGGCCATGACAGCCCTCACCCATGTGGACAGCAGTTTTCAATTCACAGAGCATCTCCCACTCATCAGCAACCTGTTCTTTCCAAAGACCTGTGAAGTGGGCTGCAGGCAGGCTCACCACTCCCATTTCACAGGAGAGAAAGTCAAGGCACAGAGCAGTTCAGCATACCACCTTAGGTCAGGCATCAGCCTGGCACCCAAGCAGGGCTCTTTTCTCTGGACCATTGCACCTTTGAAAAGCACTGTGCTGAGAAATGTGGACCAACTTCACCTGTTGTTATTTGATATCACTGAAATTGTCCTCCCTAAACAGACTTAATAACTTAAAGTTTTGCTTTCTGCTCCACTGAGAAGAGGGGACCCACTCTGAGGAAGGAACTCAAACACGAACAGTCATGTTTTGTAGACATTAGTGTTTATTTCCTTGTGATACTGTAGCTTCCTCTGGAAAAATCCAAGCACACATCCGTTTCAAGCCCTGAGAAACTCTCAAATGTTGACCATGTGTCTGACTCCTGTGTGGTCAAAGGAGTGATGTTTCGGAATGTCCACAACTTATTTCCATGTTAAAATAATTCCACGCTCGCCTAAATTCCACTTATACACAAGTGTGCACCTGTTAAAATAGGTCATTTTTCACTGTTAAATCTTCCAAAATCCATGGGTATGTGTGGGAACCCCAGACAAATGCAACCTGAATGTCACAAAGGGCATTTTTCTCTGCTGAGTGATCCTGGTTGGCCCAGAGCCCTCAGGTCCCTCACTCCCACAGATCTGTGAAAGTAAGGAAGAACAATTTCTGCTGAGAGAAGGGACTGGAATCAAATCTCAGCACTGAAGGCCTTGTGTGAAATTGCATGGGATTTTTGTTTTACAACCATTACATTTTAATTAGGTTTCTGTAGACCTTTTCCGTAATCTAGTACACTACAGTTCGCAAACTCAGTAACTTTCCCCAATGCCCCCCAAAAAGCTAAAAGAAAAGATAAAAGAAAAAAAGTATTTTTAGAGCAAGGAGCTCTACCATCTGAGGTTTTGTTACTCTTATGGAGTAAGAAGGTTACTTTTGCCACAACTTTTATGACTGAAAAGTAAATGCACAAGAGTATTTTTGATACTGAAAGTTTCATCTTGGCAATGAGATTCCCCCCGACCCTTCTTCATATCTGGTCTTCCAGAAGCTCAAGTGCCCTTAACCAGTACCAGGGGACTACTCCCAACTCCTAGAAGTCTTTGGGCCCATTGCAAATGCAGGCCCTTCCAGAGAGACAGGCCTAAGGTCTCCAGGGAATTTGATGGTACCCATAGGAAACCCAGGCCCTACAGCTGACCGCAGACTCAGAACCTGCCGGGATAGCCCTCCTCCCCGCATGACATGGGAGGGCCTGCCATGGATTGCTAATCTTGGAAATTTATTTGGCAGAGAAAATCAAGGTCCGGAGCCCAGGGGAGGGAGGCCCTGGGCCCAGTGACCTTGTAGGCTAATCAGTTGGGCCATAGATCTCTTGGCAAATCATCCGTCTCCTTGGGGAGGCAGATGCCAACCCCTTGCCTTTCCAAACAGGGCTGTTAATACACGTGTGAGTCCCAATCCAAGAATGGGCTTTCGGAGCTGATTTATTTAAATACTTTTTCTGAGACATGTGTTTCAAAAAGGAGATAAAGAAGGCAAAGATGTAGGTCCTGAGCTGCCCTTGAAGAAGGAAAGGTGAAAGCCTATGTCTCTAAGGTAGAATCTGGCATAGAAACCGGCTCTCAGCAGGCGCTCCGCAGACCTGCCTTAGCTCAAAGGACCTTCACTGCCTTCCTGTCACCGCCTAGGGAGTGACATTTTGGTGATGAGAGCTGGGGCCTTAAAAAAAAAAAAATCCATCTGGTCAGTTATATAATTTATAATCCATGTGATTGTAATCTTTCCAAGTTTCCAACCAGCTCTCTAAATTCATTCACTTTGACAAACATTTCTTCAGCATCCACCATTCCCAGGGACTCTAGTGGGTGTCATGGGAGACAGAGGTGAAGGGGACACAGTCCTTTCCACTGTTGCTGCAGCTGAGTAAGCGTATAGCTGGTGTCTATTTGCCAAGAGTGTGGCCAACTAAAGGAAAACAAAACCGAACCAGAAAAAAGCTGATTTCGTGAGATGACTGGCCTTGGGAGGGTGAGGAGAATGTCCAAGCTCGGAACCCCCTGGAAGCCAAGGAGAGCTTGCAGGTGGCATGGTAACAGCAGAGCGGTCGCTGAGGGACCCTGCAGCCATGTCACAGGGAGAAGATTTGTAGGAATGGAAGACCTTTGGCCTGGAGAATAAAAGACTGGGCAAACTGGAGAGCTGTTCTCACATACCGGAGAGAGTGCCATGGGGAGGGCCCGAGGGGCGAGGCAGGCTCGGGGTGGGGGCGGGGCGGGGGTGACTGTAGTTTAGGACGGAGGGTCCTCCCTAGCTGGAGCTGCCCCAAGGCAGATCCGGATGTGCTCCGAAGGGGCTGAGTTCCCATCGTTGGAGGATTTGAGTGGGTGATGGAAAGCCCACCAGATAGAGATGCTGTAGAGAACCAAGCATGGGTGGGGAGGGAAGCCTAGTCCTTAAGGGAGGGGAGGGAAGCTTGATTCTTTAAGCTTCACTCTCTGTCTTAACGCCTTGAGTTCCCGCTTCTCCCACTACTGCTTAATGAGCTGCTAAGGCC